GAATGCCTTGCTCCAGAGCCAGCCAGCTCCGAGGAAGCTCAGCCGGGAAGTGGTTGGGAAGGAACAGCAGCACAGATGGCAGGTCAGAGCTAATGAAGCCTCACGTAACTGAACTTCCACAGCTATTGACAGGAAAGCAAGTAGTCCCCTCTGGCAGAAAATACATGGGGCAGTAAACAAAGTGCTGAACAGATTTCACGTGGAAGAGAAAGGAGGGATGGCAATAGCAGCACTTCCCTACCTCACAAAGCAGGCAGAAATTTTAGCCCCACACCTTGGCCTTCTGTTTAGGCTCAGAGTTCCATCCTGGACTCACAAAACAACGGGAGACCAAGACAAGAATAACTGTTGGACAGCTGTGGAGGTAGAAATGAATGAAGAATAGGCCATTGAGAAGAGAGACCTGCACCCAACCACTAGCTTCAAAAGAAGCCCCATAAACCAGGAGGAAGGGTACCGGGCTGGATTTCAGGAGACCCACACACTTGGAGCAGATATCTTTTCCCTTCAGTACCTCAGTTTACTGCCCCTGTTTTACAGATGGGAAGAGCTTACCTGTAACTTTCATGCTACTTTTTTCCATAAGATAGATACAGGTATATTTTAAAATTCCCAATACAAAATTCAAAAGAAGGTCAAAGGTCCCCATTTTTCAGCTGTTCAAAGCTCATCCTCCAAAACCTTTGCGCTCCAGATCTTGAAAGCAAATTATAGAACAACGGGAAAGCAAAGAATTTGGAGACGAGAGTAATAGTGTCCTTCCCAAGACCACTCACTTCTGAAAGGCTGCAACAGGGACACGTAGGGCCAACAAAGCTTCAACTTTCAAAACAGAGTCCCTGTCACAGCTCACTCAGTGGATCTGCGTTCCCCCAGTTTTGCACAACTCGGGTTCAACAGACCATCCATCTCGCAGAAGAGATTCATAGGAACGCTGCTGTTTTGTGAACTGATGATGGAATTGCTAGATTGACCCTTATTTTGTTTGAATCAGGTGCACTACTAATCATAAAATGATTCTTATTTTGGACTGGATTCCCTTGCTGACCTCTCCCCACTCTTACATTAAATTGTCCCATTTGCAGCTGCAAATAGTTACTAACTAGGGATGGACTTGGAAGAAGGGACAGCTTTCAAATTCCCTTAAAGTTTGACTTTGTTTGTGGAATACTAATTTCAGCCCTGGCTGAGTCCAAACATCAGTCCGCTCCACCCTAACAGGGTATGACGGAAAAACCCTGTCTCCTGCTCCCACCAATATCGCAAGCTATCTCAGCACTCCACATGAATCCTTCTTACTGAACTTTTATCAGGTGCTGGACAGACAGTCTGGCAAGGGTCTAGATTTAGGACTATGAAGGGGAAAAATTGTCTCCTAGAACAGAAATAGTTGGAGTCACAGAACCAGACTATTAACTGGAGCTCAATTAGCAGAGTACTCCCTGCATCTCCATAAGGCAATTAATTGAGCTTATGGTTTTCCCCCTTCCCCAAAATGCCTCTCCAGAAGGCACATTTCCTCTCTGAGCTCAAATCTGCTGTTTGAGTTCTGTCACAGGCTGCCTGATCTCCTCCTGTGGTTGCTTCTCAGCCCCAGGAACACTAGTCCCTGGTAAAGTCCCCCTGAAAACAGATTACCAGGGCATTTGAGGATCAATGGATTAAAGGCAACATTGACATGACTGCCAGCCGGACCGCTGCTTATTTTACAGTCATAAAAGCAACTCCTGAATTTAACTTCTGCTACTACTCTGATTTTATCTGTTATTTATACCATGTTTTGTGCTTGGATTGTAGCTTTCAAGTGTGAGATGCTGGGCCAGCTTATTGTAATGAAAAAACGTGGCTTTAACTTTTACTCTTGTTCTGTCTTATTTAAGTGACTGGAAGGACATTCTTTAGGTTAATGCCTACAGCTGCAATACTGATAAGTGCATTTTATCCTTTGCTCTTTCACAAGCTCTCTGGGTGACATTTGTTAATGCAAGCCACCCACATTCCGGCAGAGTAAGCCCAAATCTCTTTAACATCCAGGATGCAGTTTCACCTGTACTATACATTTGCTGTCCTCCTCCGAAGCTTTCAAAGAAAGAACTCTCCTCTTCACTAACAGTAAGAGGCAGCAAGAACATCAGCCCACAAATTTCACCAGGAAGAGAAAAAATAGAAGCCAGTATTCTTCCTGAGAGACTGCCTTCGACCTTCAGGTTTCTCAGCCAAGAACTTTTGGTAAGTAAAAGAAAAGAAAAGCCCTTAACCTCAGGGCCATAAGTCTGAGTGCCTGAGACACCACTTATACCAAAACAGTCACATCACAAGAAAAATTGTTGAGCTTTAACCATATTCCAAACGGATTCCATAATACTGCTAGGGACGTGAGGGCAAGATTTAAAAAGCCAGACCTAGTTTCTATCTCCTCCCAGGCAGGAGGTAAATCCTGCCTGTGGTGGTCCTAAAATTGAAATGCTGTATGCGTCGACCCAGTCTTTTAAAGCCCATCGACAGCACAAGTCTCAAATGGATCTCTGGTATGAGGGATCTCCAGGACTTGAAACGAGGCCAGGCCAAGCTACACTGGGACCACACGGCCACTCCTAAATCTTGCAACTTTAGGGGCTTTCGTCATGCTGAGTGATGGTGTAGTAGCTCCTACGACTCCCATGATAAATGTCCATGCTTCTCTTAGCATAAAAAGATACTACTGCTTGAAATTCCATCACCGACTTCTTTCCTTAATCAAAAAGAATTCCTGCACAAAGTGGAAGTTTTCACCCAAATTATGTTTTTGATACAGAATGTCCTCATTTTAATAGAAAAACAGCAAACACACAAGCTTAAAAATGCTACAAACTGTCAGTTCTAGCAATCAAACCTCAAGTTTTTCGGTTTGCACCAAAAGTGACTGCAGCCAGTTTTATGAAGTCTTCAGCCCTGGCTGTAAAATCCAAAGGATCCAGATCTCTTCCACTCCTGACAGCTACAGCAAAAGCTTGTGCAGTAAAGAAAAACTAGATGAGCTTTTCCTCGGGTTTACAGCATTTTTTCCACATTCAGTCAGCTCTATCCAGTACACCCCACTACCCTTCCCCTTCGAAGGGCATTCTTTCCCATCTAATAACTCTTCATGGAGTCACGTGCCAAGATTGGCTTTCCCTCAACTTCACACCATTCTGCAGATTTAATAGCACCTCATCTCGTAATTATCACCTTCAGAAATCAAAGGTTTTGGAGAGGCAAAATGTTTTGCAAGCAAATGCCTACCAGTGCAGGGGGTGAGGGGAAGAAAAAGAAAAAAATTCAAAACAGCTTACTGAGAGTAACTGTGTCATTGATCCTGAAACTGCAGAGCACTCTGTCAACGTTGCGGGCATGTCGAAATCCGTTTCCTCTCACAACAACCTGAAACGACTCTGTAGCAAAAGAGACAGTAGATTATTTCATCTATATCAAGACAAGAATCATAATTTATACTAGGCAAGTATGTCAGAAGTTTTCACTTGAGAGGTCTCAAGCTAAAACTTGTGATTTTTAAGCAGTTTTAAATTTTAAAAAAAGGTTAAAAATGGAACTTCCTCTCTCTCCCTACTCCATTTCAAGTTGTATTTTATTTCCAGTTTCCAAAAAATAGAAACATCTAAATTGACCTGCAGCACAAGCATTTAAAGTCTCAGAGGCAAACCAACACTCCTCACCCACCCAGAGCTGCCATTTTAAAGGGCAGAAAGCTGTGGTGAATAAAAACAAAAGTACTTTTTAGAGGAAAGGAAAATCATCCAGCGGAGTATAATGTGAAGCAGCTGAAGGGCTGCTTTCCTAGATAGCGGCAAAATTGTCACGATTTCCGTGAGTTTTGTCACACCACATGTCCTACTAGTTTGCAGAATGACCATAAATCCTTGGCTGGACTCATTTCCGCACCGTGACAGGGGACTTCAAGTATTATCCAGCTTTTTAGTCTCCGAACAGACTACGATCTCAGCCTATGATCTTGTGGGCATTTCCCCAAGTTTCTCTCTTTGTCATTCTACCAGATCAACTTTACTAGGTCACTAGCTAGTTGGAGCACTAGCATAAAGGGGGCAGTCATCAACACTTGAGTGCTGAATTGAACAGTCTCTTCTGAAGCAAGCATGGTTGAGTAATGAGATTATACCTTCAGAAGTCTTTCAGACCTCTCTACAGTCCTCTTTCCAATAATATTCCAACTACTTGAATCTAGTACTGGAAAAGGTTTACACACTTCCAGCAGCCATCAGCATTAAGACTGCCTTGTGAAGAAAGTACCATTTTTAGACTTCCGGATGGCGAAAGCGGGCCATAATCTCAGAAAGTTCTGGCAGCAAGCAGACATAAGGGCTCAGTCTCCGCAGCTCCCTGTGGCACTTTACTAAGAGCAAAGAAACCAGCTGCCCCCTCTTCCTGTTTCGATCTAAAAGGAGAGACATTCCCAGATAATCCTTGCTGATGTTTACAAGTCTTCCTCCTCCCTTCTTCTGCAAACGCGCATCAGACAAAGCATTTCATGGTCAAAGACACTGCAGGAGTGCTCAGTGCACAAACACACACCACCATGCTTTTAAAATCCCCAGCAGCAACAGTGAACCCAATTTTTGCCGATTCAAAGTTTTTCCCTTGCACTTCACAGTCACCTTTTTTCGTCTCCCTTAAGGACTTGCACACTGTACTTGTCAAAAGAGCACATTGGCTCTGGAATCTGGGCTCTGTTCCAGGTCCCATTCGTTTAGAGCCAAGCTGCAAATCATCCCATCACATCTAGCCAGGGAAGTTGCCTTGCAGGCCCATTATGGGTTGTCCAAGTGCATTTGGGAAGAATGGGGGAAGAAGCGCTCTGTTCTGGAGCGCGGGGGCTGATAAATACTTAAGAGAAATCACAGAAGTCTCAACTGCTAGGGAATGAGAGTTCAAGTACAGTTAAAGGACAGCATATCAATGTCATCAGATTAACCATGATGATCCTATCTCTGTTTGGGACCAAAATGAACGGGTCCAGTATGAGCCCTGCATTACCATAGGGACACTGGCATTTCAGGCAGATGTGCTGTGCTGAAGGTGCATCACTCAGTCTGGGACCAGTCTACAGTGCAAGAGCGGTCTTAGATGAAAGCAGGGTAACATGCAGCCCTCATGTTCTCTCCTCCACAAAAACATTCTGCCACTGCTCTTTATGGATACACACAAAAGAAAATGGTTGGGCATCAGAGCCAGACCAGCAAGGATTTGTCCCCCAAAGACACTGACGCGTGTAACTTTCAACAGCATTTTCGTTAGTCTCAAAAGTCCTAACTGATGAAAGTAGTTGCAGTTTGAAAGCAACGGAGTTTTTGCCTGAACTCAAGAGGAGTCCTTCAATTGAGTTACTCAGTAACTTTTGGTGTTTTTCAAAGTTAACATCACTTCTCTTGAGAAGTTCTGGCCAAATTCCAATGTGGGCAATTTATGCAAAAATCTCTCCATTTCCTCTTAGCTACCTCTTCCGTATACAGCTGTACCTTGACCCTAAATTCTCATTAAGGCACAGTAAGCGGGAGCGATAAGACGTATAAGCAACTTGCAAGCACATTAGAACATGCTAGAGATCATAAATCTGGTTATAAATAATCTTTTTATTTATGACATTGCATTAGCATCATGGCTTACCACTTGCTTAAGAGCATCCTCTATAAGTGATGTGTAAAGTGGATCTGTAACTTGACATCATTTCCTCTCCCAGTCATTTATGGGGCATTACTACACTATGGTCATGGTGATGACCATCTGCTATGCTCAGATGGACAGAGCCCTGTTTTGGAGCCTTTTTGAATGAAGCAACTATTTAAATGGCCAGCCAAAAGTCAGAAATAGAAGACTACAAGCACTAAACAAATTCACATCAGCTATGCCATCTTGGCTTCAAGAGACAAAACTAGTTACACACGGAACGCAAAACCAATCCCTAGTACTTACTGGGCATTTACCTCGGTGTCTCAAATCTGCTAAAAAAATACAACTATCTGTACGTTTAGGAATAGAGATAGACACTTGTTCCAGTAACAGGAAGTACAGGAAGCATGAATAAAGCAGCTGCTTTGGAAGTGAAAAAAGAATTAGTGACAATTAGTCTTCTTATTTGGTCTACCAAGTTAAGAAAAAACAGATATAGAACTTGTCACAGATTCATCTTTCTCTGTACACTTCAGCTCTGGTCTCGACCTCTCTACTTAATGAACTGCTACACCTCAAACAAACAGTTAGGATCCACTTTATAAAATGAGGAAAAATTCACAGGAAGCAGATGCTAAAAAGAGCTCTCAAGCTTTCTTCCAAGACAACTGGGCTTTACTGAACGCAGAAATACTTGCCAGGATTATAAAGCCACAATGTACATAGTGTAATCCTATTAAAATGAGCACAAAAAAGTGGTCAGTATGATTCACACTAGTATTTAAACTTCATTCAATTGACTTGTGTTCTCAGCCATTGTATCTCCTCAAACAAAAAACCCGTTAGCTCAGGGGCTTGCTCACTTGACTTTCCCTAGTTTAAAAGCATTTCTCTCAATCTTGTAAAATGATTTTGCAAACCTCTAAATCAAATTACAAAAGATAATGTTATTTTCTGGTTTGATTTTGGAATTGTGTAGCATTTTACTTCAACTTTGGCATAGTCCAACTAAAACAGGCTGCTTTGATGGAAAAAACATAATTTAGGCAAAATCCCTACTGTCAGATTCAACCGGGTTTTTTGCAAGAAAAAAAAAATCCCATTTCATATAACTTGCAAAAATGGGAAATAAGCAAGCGACTAAGATTAAAAAAAAATCTGATGGCTCTGAGAACCAGACTTTGGTAGAATTTCACAAAAAGGCAAGAGATTTACAGCCCGTTAATTAGTTCCTTCTGCACTCTCCAGGAATTAGAGCTGGATGGAAAGGTATAATCATTTTAGGCAGCGTAAACGACTGGGACCTCAATTTACACTTACCCCCTGCACATATACTGGAAGGCTCTGCAGCCAGAATTTCAATACATGATTTCTTCAAAATCTAAAAGACAAAAGAAATTTGATGAAGTATCTCAGAATTGTTTCTATAAAGGCACAAACAAATCTGAAAACATGAAGGAGAGAGCTTCTCATCTATTCTCATTTATCTTGACACTGTAAATGAGTCTGTTGCAATTACGTCGACTTCACTTCTCACTGTGAGGCAAGCATACAGGCGTCATTGCTCTTCTGCTACAAGCTATTGCTATGGGAAAGGCAACTGATGCCCAGTCTCCAGTGTCTCAGGACAAACCTGCCTTTGTCAATGACACAAGTTTGTATGCAGGCTATCACCTGGAATAACTAAGCTGCACTCCGAAAGGTTAAACTAGACAGGTAGAGAGTCAGTGCCCTCACTGTGCAGTCACATTTCCTTCCCCCCACTATTTCAGAGCCCAGAATTGCAGTCAAAATTTCACAGGTTTAAACAACTAAAGGCATTTAGCTTTGCACTGAAACATCTCAAGAGCATTAATTTGGTTGCTTCCCAAGCCTCAGCACAGGGGTTGAAACTTCTTAAGTTACTCTAACTTGATCCACAAGAGCAAGTCTGAATACATCCTCAAAATTTCACTGTGATTTCAAATCAAGATGTAAGGGCAATTTTTTATTTTATTTTATTTATTTTATTTTATTTTTTTTTTTTTACACACTTCAACTAGGGTTCCTTGCATTTAGATTAAATCCACTAGGAACAAGCTTAAAGTAAGCAGCATATCTTCATAAGGGTTGGCACCGACTTAAGCCATTTGTGTGTAGACAGAGATTTAAACAAAGACTTCAGCCTCAGACTTGGCAAAAGAGGAGCACTAGGTTTGCATACTCTCTGTTCTCATACTTTGCTAGAATTGCTCAAGCTATTATTTGCAAGCAACAGCCTTTCCCCTGCTATGAAGACTCACACAAATTCTTAACTACACACAGTCAAACTTATGACAGCATCCATAAGCCCTTGTGAGAACAGCAGCAGTAACTGAGAGCTGTGGGTGTTCAGGATTGGGCTGAGCAGCCCCTCAACGAGGTAACACCGACCAAAATTTAGGTCAGCTCCAAGAGGCAAGTAAATGTCAGCCAAACATCATGACTCAAATCCAACACAAAAATTATTTTCCCAACTTTAAATTGAAACATCTGTAAGGAAAGAACAGCAACTAATAAATTCTTTAAGAAAACAGATAGTTCTCTGCAACCATGGCTCTCTACCTCAGAAATATCTAGTTGCAAAAAGCACAGATGTAGTGATGAATTTCTTTTAAAAAAAGAAAACAAAAAACCCAACCCCAAACTTTTAAACAAAAGTGAGTTACTCAGAAGCAGGATTGGTGGAAGCTGAAAGGATACCAAGAGACTGAAGTAACCAGGACCGTCTGAGCCGCTGGCAGCCTGACAGCAAGGAAAAAGAGAAGACCTGCAGGAACAAGGAGGCTATACAGGAACTGTCAAGGGGAAAAAAAAAGAAAAAAGAAAAAAGAGGCAATAGTTGAGAGCTGAGCTGAAAAGCACTAGAAGAATTTGAAAAGCAGAATAAGAAAAGAGATATGTAAGAAATAAGGAGAAACTCTTCCAACATATCTGTCTTTAGCTATCTACCCACCCACCCTATGACACTCCTCTGCTGTTCCCCCCCCTTTCTCATTCCAGCTTCTACTTCTCTGAAGATAGAGCAGTTTTCTCCAGACATGACTGGTGGGGCTAATGAGCACAATTAAGAGTGCTATGTATTTTTTCTTTTCCACTGAGAAAGGTCTCATTTAAAAAAAAAAAATAGTATCTTTTCACATTTTTTCCAACTCCCTTTTAGATTTTGTTCCTCCAGCATTCCCAAACCTTTTTTTTTTTTTTAAATACATTTTCTCCTCTCCTTCACTGACTTTCAGCAACAAAGTGAAGAGGAGGAAGAAGCAAATGGGATGGAAGAGGAAAAGATGAAAAAATATAGTAACAATCTTAATCCTTAAAAATCAAATAAAACCCCCACAAGACAAACAGCTTGAAATTCATGAACTCTGTTCAGTCATTTGCAAACAGTCACACTGTAAGCCAGCTCTGATGGGTGTGGAATAGCAGGTGTCTCAATTAGATGATGCAAAGCTCCCTTCCAGTCTAGTCCATTTCCATGAATATAAAACACTGGCCCTAGCAGCTTTTTATAGTGCCAGCTGCAATATTTATTTTCATTTAGAGTAACAAAAAGTTTCCAAGCCTCCAAGCACCTTCACTTTATTAAGTGAAAATGAGGCAGCAGTAGCTATTGCAAAGGAATTCCTTTATACCTCTTCCTTGTTACGAAAACACATACAAAAGGACTCCCACCTATTCAAGGCAGAAGATTTTGTCCTTTGAGGGCTGCATAGCCTTCCTTCCTGAAGGCTGCACAGCCTTGCATGGGCTGTAGGTGCACTTCACTCACTCTGGGCCAGCTCCCCAGGAAAACAAAGTAACACGCAATAGTGGTGATGCAATGTCCCACTCTAGTGTCTATAAATCACTGACAGCATACACTGGAGAACTGTCTCTGCAGCTAGCCTGTCTTCATTATGGCCTTAAGGCAGCTTGCCTTGGCATCCATGCAGAAAAGTCCTTGAAGCACATGCTGGCTTTTGAGGAGGAAGCATTCCGTTGTCTTTAGTGGCACACGCTTAATGACCAAGCTCAGCTTCCCAAATCAATATCCCATTGTACTCCGAGGGGCTCCAGTTGTGTTCCAACTTCAGACAAGGTCCTGGGAGGACCACTTTGTTAACAGTTGTTGACACTCCAAATACAAAATATAACAAATGGATAAAATTATAACTTATGGATGTGGAAAATGACATTATTGGTCCTAGCTCTCCCTTGACCAGGGAGAACTTAATTTAGCATTACCTGTGGCTAATTTAGTCTTCTGCCAGGCAATGCATTGAAGACCAAGAACCAGGCAAGACCCTGGAGGTCACCTGGGAAGTAAAGGAAATGAAATTCTGAAGCTGTTGAAAGCTTGTATTTGGTATACTGGCCCATGAGCATGCAGCCAGACTACTTCACCAGAGCAGCTGGACATTTCTTATTAATTTTTCATTGCATTTGGGAATTCTCATTAGCAAACAGGACGTAGAAGCTTAATGGATAGGTACTGCCCATCAGTGTTAGCATGAATGGCCTACAGTCCAAGGCTAGATACTCATTATATCAATCTCTGTTGAACTACCAAATAGCAAAGTCTGTTGCCAACTACAAAATAGTACTTTTACTTTATGCAGCGCTTCCTGACCAATAACATCTACATGAGCTAAGTAAAATAAGTACATTCTTTAAATCATTTTTAAAGATGCACTGGGGGCAAGAAAGAAGAAGTAGAAAGGGCAATCACACACCACTAAAAGTAGTGAGAAACGCTATACAGTCGGGACTTGGGGGTTCACAATCCTCTACTTGAGATAGGGTAAGGTAGATGCTTCGAGTTGTCGACTTTCTCTCTAGCTGATGTAGAGAACTTGGCTCCAACAGAAGACAGATTCAGAATATCTGCACGAAGCTCCCGCTCCAAATTACCTCTGGAGATCCTCTCCTTCCTTACTGACTACAGAAGGAGTTTCTAAAGCCAAGCTTGCTGAAGTTAGGCAACGTACATGTAAAGCACAGCTAATATGTTAGTGGTAAGTCAGACAACTGACTAGCAAGTTTGTGCACAGTACGTGTTTGGCACATACAGGGCATGCGTCTTGCCAAGGACATCACTTTCTCTCATGCATCTCACACGCATGGACTCTTATCAGCTCTCCCCCTACCAGAGACTGCACAGTATGAATATTTGCTGGTGAAGCTTTAACAGCTACCTCAAGAAAAGCATAAACACGTCACCACATTTCTCATACTTGGCCTACCAGATGCTCATGTCAAGTTCTCACAAAAGTTACCACACGACACATACCCAGGACTGCAGTTTGTCTTTTGATTGCTTTGCCTCAGAAGCAGAGACATTCATGTAACAGAAGTATTTGGTCAAAATACATTTCCAAATAAAATTCCTCGGGGTGAAGTCGTGCACTGAACTGCCATATCAAGTCTAACAGTTGATACAGGACTTGAAAAACATTGAAAGGGCACTACACCATCATGAGAGGGTACAAAAGGATGAATAATTTGCTCAGTGTTCATAGACAGAAGACAGTCTCACAATACCAGCTACTTAGTACTACCATGCTCAGAGAATCCTATCTTAGGAAGCTGAGAGTAGGTCTCCATTTGAGATCAGCTCTGAACTAGCATCAGAAAAACCACAGTGCAAAGGATCAGGCAGTATTCTCGCTCCAAGTCACTGCTCTAAGTCAATGTTTTGGGGGAAGGGGTGGTTTAGAGGCTAAAAGGTAAGCAAAGACAATATCCTCCTCTTGACTTTCATGTTGCTTTGTGCTTCATTGACTTCACCGCTCACACCACACATACTGAGCAGCAGATAAACCCGAGTTTCAAGTTTTCCTAAGACTTGCTCCATTTGCTTTAAATTGACAAGTTATGGTCTGCAGAAATTCCTCACAAGAGCTACAGCAACTAAGAGAAATGTGATGACGTACTTCAGTTCCTTCGATTTGCTTTCCAGCTTATAGGAATCAGGTGCCTGTTTCTCTACCAGATCCTTCCCTCACTCCTAACACACCAAATCCCCATTAAATGTTGCTTCAGCTGAAGCTTTAGCCATGGCTGTTTCGCTATGGGGGACAGTGAAAGCAATTCATTTGCTTGATAAAAATCCCACTGGAACTCAAAGGAGAGAAAGAAGGACCAAAACCCACAGCACATCAAATGCCTTTAGCTCCCACCCTAACAATCATGTTTTTAAGCATGACTTCAGCATGGGAATGAATCTTCAGTTCATCTAAGCACAGCCTCCAGGGCACAGCCTGAACAGCTTAGCAGTGCACACAGACAGTCGGGTACAGCATTCCTCTGACAGCACAGAGCAGATCTCCCTGACAGCTGCTAACTTCCAAGACTTGGTGGCTCCCGCACGCTGGCTGGAAAGCAAGTGCAGGTGTACCAAAACACTTGCAGACCACCACCCTGAACTTTTGCTCAGCAGATGTAGAGAGGCCCAGCAGAGAGCTGGCCTCAAGCCCTACCTCTCCCCAGCTCCCACCCTCTTCGGCATCCTAGAGGGACCTTTAAGTCTACTGTCTCTCCATGCGCAAAAGGTAGGGACGAGTTTGTTCTCTGAGACAGAGGGGAGGGCGGCAAAGTCAGCACACCTAGAGCAGAAATGCAGGGCAGTTCGTACTAAATCACTACAGGCCTGAACAAACCCAAGTCCCCGCTTCTCAGAAGTGACTCAAACTCTAATCTCTCCCAGACTCACTGTTGTATGTTTCCTTTCCTTCAGGTTCCCTGCCACTTCAACCAGCAGCTACAAGCCTGACCAACCTCCTCTACACATGGCTGAGCATCCTTACCATGCCAACTCTTAGACAGGAATCAGTGAAGCTTCCAAGTCTCATAGCTCTTTCAACATGAAAATGGTCTCCTGTGAACACAAACACTTTGCTCGCCCCAACAAAGAGGTGCTTTGCAAGGACAACAACAAAACAGACTGGAGTAGCTCTTATTTTCTGGGCAGAAGCAAGAATCACAGCTATTCTACAAAGTGGCTAATGCCCTTCTTGCCATTCCTTTTACATACCTCCTTTCCACCCAGCCTACTGCCATCACTCCACTCAAGCATAGAGCACTATCTGCTTTTTAGGATAAATGCTGTATTCTTACCTTCCAGAAAGGATCATCAGGAAGCATGATCCCCATATGACAACACTACTCTTATCAGCGAGAGATCAGGTCACAAACTCATTACTGTGCAATTACACTTCCTTGTAACCCTCCTTTCTAGAGCTGGTCAATCTTGCACCAGTCAGCTGAAATGGTTCTTAACTAGGTTCTTGGAGGCTGACGGCTTCCCATTCTGTGAAGTATAACTGGAAAGGAAGTCAGAACTGTTTCTGGAATTCATTAAACACAGCTGCAAAGGGAATGCAGGGCTGGGAAGCAAACTAGTGTTTTTAGTTGTTTTGTTGCTTTCTTAAATGACATGCAACACCTGATTGTCCTAGAGAACTGAGGCAGCAGCTCCACACTTGGAGAGTGCCAAGAAAACCAGTAACCAAGGGATTGTATTGCATCTACATGCAAGAGTGCAAGAGAAAACTGAGCCTGTGCTGAGGGAACAGTTTTGCTTGGTACTACGTGGTCAGAATAGCGTGCAACTGCTGTAAATACAGAAATCTGAGACCCCCTTGGTGAAGCTACCCTTCCTAGCTTGAAGCGGAAAGTTGTAAATTTCATCTGTGTCTTATCAACTAAAAGCTTATTCCAAAATGAACACAACACATATCCCTAAAAGGATTTCCCATCCTTCTTTGTAGTCATGGGAAACAATCTAATTAGAATGGCTATTGAATAGTACTGAGCAGAGGAAAAAAAAAATACAGAAAGTGATCTGAAAACATGCTGTGCCAAGCATTTGCTAGGAAACATTTTACACTTATAAAAATGGTACCTATATCCTTTTGGATATTGCCTTCCCAGCTCAGTCAAGGGAAGCACTGGCTCTGGGTGAGGCAGGATTAAGTCACTCCATTTTAGAGCTAGAGACAGATGCGACAGGAGGTTCCACTATTTCCCATTTGTGCAACTCGAACACAAGCCATGGGAAAGGGATCAATCCATGCTGCCCCTCTACTTGTCAGCTAAACTGCTAGCTCTTGTATCCCAGCCATTCAGCTGATCAATCTGAACAGAGAAACGAGGGGCAGGAATATGCACCATTTTTCTAGAGGCCAAGCGTAGAGTGCTAGGTTTTCAGGATTTCAGTATACACAGCAGGATCCCTTTCCCATTTCCATACAGGTAAGCAGTACAACGCATCCTTGAAGACAGAAAGGACGCTAAGCAAGCGGAGGGATGGAGAGACCAAGGAATGCCCCAGTTCTTCATATAAAGCAATGTGCTCTAACATGCCTCCGCTGACCCACTCTGTGACCTAATCCTTTCTCTGCCCCATTTGTGATGGTAGCAGCCTTTTATAAGCTGTAGCAATGTACCTAGTCCATTCAAACACATACTTCCCGCTAAGGAGGGAGACGCATGGGTAGAATTAAAGTATTTGGGCTCTGGGTCAATTGTTTTCTTTTTGGGAAAAGAAACGAAAGAAGTACTCAAAACTTCCTCTGTTGTGACCTGTTTATGGACTCAATCTTGAAGTAGCAACATTAGCGTAAACAAAAGATGTCTTGAGAGCACACCTTTGAGTGGTTTACTAGCAATCACTAGGTCCTTGGGAACACAGAAAAATTAGGCCTTCAGCTGTGCAAGCTAACACAAACACTAACATGCACACGGGCAAGCACATGATTAAAAATACTTACGGAGTCTATGATCCCCTGAAGGGCTTCAAAACCATCATTCACTGGAAAGACGTGATCTTTGCTGTCGGCAATTCTAGCCAGCTGACGGAGCAGCAAAAGTAAATAAAACAGAAACGCAAAGAATGAGATAAATTAGCCAGCAGGCAGCAAGTTAAGAGCTCTTCAGACCCATCCACTTGCAAGTGAAAAACACATACTTTTAAGTACTCAGCGTGGACTGCTAATGCATTGTAGTTTGCCAAGCATTGAAAAGTTGATACCTTTATAGTCTGGCTGATTTTAGAAAGCTCTATATTGGCAATCAGAAAAAGCTTCCTTAAGTTTAAGGACAAGACAAAACAAGGCTTTCACCAATACCCAGTGCCTAATGATTTTTAGTACAAAACGTGTCCCCTAGACAATTGTAAAGCAGCCAGCACAGCAGCTTCCTGAGGTGAAGAGGCCATCAAGGCTCTACCATTTTAGGCCACCGATACAGGAAAGTACTTCAAGACATATGTCATTTAAAGCAGGCAAGTAATCAAAGTGATTCAGTATTTCTGCACACCGAAAGAGAGAAAGGCAAGTTATCCTCCATGCAGAGATCTACGCTTGAATCATCTTTCCTGTCAGGACAGAGATTGGACCATTTGTTCCAGGCTCAGCCACGTTAGATCCAAGAAGAGGAAAGCAGCGAGCTAACCAGAAACACTGTCTGAACGGGGAAAGGGAGCAAAAGGTAACAAGGTAGCAGTAGGGAAGAGAAGTGGGACATCACCTGCAAAGAGCTCCATGCAGGTTCATTTGTTAACAGCATAGTAAAGGTTAAGGCAAAAACATAGGCCCCATTCAGAAATAATGAGCTCTCCATGCATTTGCTGGAGGTGAATCAAGTTTTACTGCTGCAAGGCCAACATTTGTTATAGTAATTCTCTCCCATGGCAGAGGTAACATCACCCAGCAGGCCTCTTTGGCCTTTCCTGTAGCATTGCAAATTGAAGGCAGTAGACTAGCCACACATTCCTCTCTAAACCCCACTGGGCTCCACCTCTCCAGCTCACGTCAAACAATTAGCGTTAGCAGTATCAGCAAAAGCTCCCGTTTCCCAAGGAAAACACCACACTGCCAGCCTCCTGGTTTGTGTCCATCAAGAAATATTCCAGGCTATCTCCTCCCGCCCGCCCATTCCGAGTAGGGCATTAAAGCTGCTTACTGCTTGTTGGCCAAGACACAGCAGTTTCCGTAAACCAGGCTATCGTTTCCCAAATTCATTCCCCATAGCCTGCCTGGTAGAGCCTTCTGGGATTTCAGACGGACTTGGTCATCTAACTCCAGATAATCTCTGCAGCATCTCAGTGACTTCAAGTTGTGGCCATCTTTGAGGTCAACTACCTTAGATCTAGTCTCTCTGCCATTTTTATTCTCTCCTTGCTTTTCCTATGACTTCCTTTGGGCTACACTATTCTCTGCTTTTGATTCAAAGGCACTAAACTACCCTTTGCCTTTTTATTTTTAGAACAGAAGGCTTAAACCCTTTGAGTATCACTAGGCAGTACTAGATCTAAAAATCCCTCATTAGACTCAAAACGAGAACAGCAAGAACCAGCAGCTTCCTCACTGTCTGCAATGCAACAGCAGTGCTCCTGTTTCCGCTTTTCCTAAGATGCGATGCACTGGGGCAGCTCCCTGGAAAGCCTTCAGGACCACTCTCAGTAACCCCAAACTCTGCAGCAGAATCCCCCAGCCAAATCAAAGTTTTGCTTTGGTTCCTAATCCAAACAAATCAGAATTCCAAGCTTTGCAAGAAAGCTGAATTCCTGCAAAAGCCTTATGCAGTGTTTCAGCACTCCACTTAGTACAAGTGTTTCCATTCATGGTGGAAAGTTATGATGTCAGCTGTTACACTTGAGGTATGAAATACTTCAAGGACACTAATACCTACGATAAATTTAGAAATCTTAATCTGTTAAATCAATGGGAAAATGCCCCAAAAGATTAGTGTCTGTAAGGAAGCTGACTGTTTTTCCATAAAATTGAGACATTTCCACAACATATTTCTGTTTCAATCAAGCTTTCATCTTTGAAAAAGAACTATGCTGTAAAATCAAAACCCTCACAACCTTCTTGCACCAGTCATTCACAAGAGTCATTGTGGCATGCAGAGAGAGAGGCAGTTCTCTGCATATGGAGGGGAAGACCAAAAGGGCTTAAACCCAATGGAGAGATCCAAGGCAGGTCAGGCACTCCCTTTAGGCTGTCTCACAGCCAACAGAAAGGCAGCAGACCTCTTGAGAGGGCAATTCAGGACTGAGTCCCTGTGCTCTGAACATCCACCCTTGCCAAGTACTCCAGTAAACACAATGAAAGCCTCATTTACCTGTGTCTCATTGAAGTCTTTCACACCAACACAGTACACTGTTGCTCCCAGGTCACGTGATCGATTAGCCTGAAATAAGGAAATGTAGGATGACACAGATGCCGAATTTACAATCAAGACCTTCCAGAAACCTGCCTTGTATCAATTGGTGTCTCCCTCCTCAAAATGAGGAGCCAAAGGCTTGCCAAAATTGAATTTTAAAAGCTTTCCTCCCTGATTCTGCAGAAAAAAAATCTGCTACTACAATAGCTACTTGTTCAGTACAACTAGAGCCAAGACCTTTGCCATTCTTTTTTTAAACCTGATCTGCTCATCTTCCTAGCCATTCCAACCTCCTAACATTTGTCCACCCAACGCGTGCCACACAGAACAGACTAAATCCATTTTCTTCTCAACATTTAGGATATATCCCAGTAAAACAGTAACCCAAAACATTCTGGTATTTACTACTCCAGATATCTGTGCCTGGATTCATGGCATCCACGGGTGAGGAGACATGCAGTCCACCTGTGGCAAAGCTGTATCACTCCTATTACCTATATAGCATCTCAAAGTAGGAAAGGTTTGATTCTCCCAGGATATTCCACTGGCCTGCAGATAAAAGTTGTATTTAATATTCAGGCAAGAGCATTTAGAATAGATGCTTTCTGCTCAAGTATAAATCAGATAATTTGATCTTATTTCGCCTGCACAGGAACACCTGACTTAGAAAACCTGTTCCCAGGGGAGACCGTAGCAGATGAGATTACATCAGTACAAGGCTGTAGTAGCTCAGGTTAGATAGTAAAGCACTTCACAAGGAAAGCCAGCATTATTCCAGCTTTATGGAGACGCATTTAAACACAAAGAACTGCAGCAACTCGCACTAAAAGCTGAGCTCAGAATTTCAGTTCCTTTAGCTCACTAACTGCTCCTCCCCAAACCAAATACAACACTTTTGACCTCTCAAGTTGATCATTCATCTCCAAGAACAATCTTGTTTTTTCCTCAGGGATTTTTGATTTCAGAAGGGAAGAAAGAAATGAGCAACAGATAGTAGAACTATAGACTCCTAGCATTCATTTGCGCAGTAGCATTTCTGTTTCAATTGTACAAAACAACCATGCTTTTTATTGTTATTGGATTTAAAATTGTACTTTTTTAGAAAGAAAAAAAATCCTGTCTGCAGCTAATTCATATAATGCTTGGTAGCATCTTCCAAGTTCAGTTTATCATAATTCATGTACAAGTGTCAAGTGAGAATTGGTTAATTTCTTGAGCAACATCACGCCTACTATCAAAAGGACTTCAGTATGAACATTATATAGCAAAGCTTGTTAAGCGCTCAATTACTGCTCATCTAGTATTTTGCATAATATGCCAACTTAATGAGGGTGTTTAAAGTCATGAAAATACATGTTTGAATCTTACTTTTAAAGCAAGTTGCCCAATCTTTTTTGAAATTTGATTACTGAAAATATTGGCCTCATCTTGTCTTTCATTTTACTTGCATAGTCAATTTCCTCATCCAGATAAAAACATCTAAAATCTTTAACAGTCTTTCTTGGTGAGGTTTCCGGTTAGGTGAGCATCCCAAAAGTCAGACATTTTTTCAAAAACATTAATGAACTTCTAGTATGAGTTTTATTTAAGTAGTTCTTTTTAGAATTAATATGTAGCATTTAAACACTTCTTGCTACTTACGCTGGCATTCACCTTAGCTTTCTCTCCAGGCCTTGTTAAGGAATCGGTAAGTCCTTTTTAGGATACACAAACCCAGTTGCTCCAGCAGAGATAAGCTCCTATTTTGTGCACCTAAGGTGGGTGGCAACTGCTCAAAAATACCCAGCCCTTGGGGTACCACTCACTGACACAGCCACATTTTCAGCAGTAACAGGACTCCAGCTGCATCTAATACCTCACTTGCATTGCAGCTCCAGGCTCATCATGCAAGTTCCTGGAAGGTAAAGTTCCTCAAGACACAAATAACCATCAATGGATTTGAAAAAGCAAGCACCTATTAGCCAGTCCTCTGCATCGTATGGCAGCAAGACAGCACTGAAATAGGCCTAAGCTCTTTCAAGTGTCCCCCGCAGAGGATAAGAGCAGCTTTTTGCCCTACAAGCATTTTTGAGGACTTGGAATCTTCCTAATGAGAAATAGGATCAGGAGTAGAAGTGTTTGTGCAAACTTCAGATTAGATCATGTGAAAGGGTTTTCAGTGCTACAGAAGATTATATAAAAAAAATATTCATCCTCTTTTTTTTTTTTTTTTTTTTTTAAAAAGAGGGTCAAAATTAAAAATGAGAAGATCTAAATATTTCCCAAGACACTCTAGAAAACATTTTCAGCAGCAAACTCCTGGGGTTTTTGTTGTTGCTGGGTTTTATTTTTGTTGTTGTTTTAAGTCAGAGATGTTGCTGCTGTTAAGATGAATCTTAATACACTCTAAGATGCATGCCTAAAGAGCCTGAAAATTAAGTTTTGTCACCAGGAAAAAAGTTCCTCATATCTTTTGCTTCAGAAGCAGCAAAATCAGATATTCCACTGTCTCCCAGGCTAACAATGTGAAAGGGACACTCTTACCTCCCTCTCTGAGTAGAAAAAGAGGTCCTCGTGGAGTTCTCCATCTGTCAATGCAATGATGACACTTGCAGTTCTGTAACCTAGATGAACAAACTTTATTAAATGCAACTCAAGAACAGAATGCAACTAAATTAGCATAGAACACATCCTGCTAATGACCTGTTGGCAGGCTTAAAGGACCAGAACAATGAGCATCAAGTGCTATGTCCTCACCCTCTTTGGCCAACTGGTTTTCAGAAGACTTGAACTTCGGTAGTTTTTCTTACCATGTCACCTGTCTACCGCACCATTTTTCTACCATAGTCTTTTGAGGTGTCAGTGATTTTAACCACCAATGCCTCATGACTATTTCAGTATTTCAGACCAGCAGATGTATGTAATCTTAGAGAAAAACTTTTCAAAAAATTCCTAGTTATTTCCTGGCTTTATTGATATGTGTTGAGGTGATATAGCTATCAACTCAAAAAATCCAAAGAGATCTTCAGCTTATGACGAAAAGCTGAATTGGGCTTTAAATCAATTTGGTAAAAAAAGGATCTAAAAACCTTATTTATTCATCACTTCTACATTACATATATTTGGCAATTTAGTTAAACGCTACATTCTTCCTGTTGCAGTGATCATAGTCCCAGCTTTTAGAAGTTTTTGTTAATTTTAAGGTGCAGCTCAATAGAATTCCTTTCCATTTCTGACAATAGATTTACTAGAAATCTGAAGGAGCTCCACAGTTGCATCTTGCATAAACATTGTTAAGGAAAGTGAAAGGTTAAGTGTGCCAAGACTCATGTCTGAAACCCTGGTAAACTATCAACCTTTTATTGTCTTAATCATCAAGGGGTTTTTCCTGCCTATATGAGCAGCTGTGCCTTTAATGATCTGTTGGTGAAGAGAAAAAAAAAAAAATCAGAACACAAGCAACTTCTGCTGAGGTTATCTAGTCTAGGTCTATTTGCTTTCTGACACCTGAATCCTGTAGCGAGTTCCTGACATCAAGGAACAGGAGGCTGAAGCGAGGAGAATATTGTCTGGCAATTCTGAAAGAACGTCCATCGCTTATTTACTGCGGAACACAGATCTAAATATCTAGTTTCCTTGGGCCCACTTAAAAATCCTCAATTAAAAAAAAATATGGTAATTGCACAATAAAAGAAGAAAAGCGCTCAACAAGCAACAGGCAACACGTATGGTCATTCACGTTGCAGATGCCAAACGCAAACATCTAGGGTCTTTCTCTAAGAGAGAGAGAAAAGTAGGTTCTTCTCATATTAACTTTTGAGCCCAAAATACCTTCTGGAAGTGCCTTTCTTCCTCTATTGACCACTGCAGGAGCCTCATCACATACTGTAGGTGGTATAAACCCTCCTCTCATTAGAGCAAAGACAGAAATGCAAAGCCAACTTTCAGACTTGAGGACCCAGTTGCCCAATGCTTCTTGCATTTGGTGGCAACCTGTTCCCATGTAGTACGTATACAGGCACATAAAAACATTACCAATGCCAAATGGAATTGTTCTAGCTCTATATTCCATTGTGTTGCTGTCATGTTTTAGGGATCACTGCCAAATCCATGCAGACGTACTCACATACTTGGTTTTACTCATGAGTGGCCCAGACGAATCATTAGGACTGTTTTTGTGTTCAGACATCTGGTCTCTTATCTTTTGCTTTCTAAAAAGTGATGTTTTATTTTGAATTTTATTTTTTTACTGCAGAAAAATATTTTACATTCATTACGAGGACAGGAAGAACAAACATTTTTGCAGTTTTCTGCACTTCCTACTCAAACGACTAATTGCTTGTTGAAAGAACTTTCACCTAACAGCATCTCCACATCTCACATTTCAAGATGAAGAAATGGTCACCTGAGTCCTTAAGCAAAGAGAAAGACTGGTACCAAGTATTTTTGATAACAGTAGGCACCTGCCTGTATCTTCAGGCCCCTGGAACCATCCTGGCTTCTCACCTTTGGCCTGAAATGCAGTCATTCCAGACCCTTAAAGCTCCACCTGTTCTTTTTCCTCTTCAGGACAAATGACCCTAAACACTATTGAATTCCTGTAGGAACAGAAACCACCGCTCCCCACCCTTTCCTGCAGTGTAGCTGAGTTACAAACAGAAATTAAGGATATAAGTAAAGCAGAAGGGGGGAGAGGGCGGGGGGGGGGGGGAAATCAATGGATCAAGAGAATATCTCACCATGAACATTTTCATAGTAAATCTGTTCACTTGCCTGAAATTAAATCAGAAGATTATTAGCAATAACAGAATAATAATACTTCACAGGCATCTATACATGCACCAGAAAGAAAGAGAAGGTGGCAGTGAGAATGTCACGTTTGCAGCCTGCATCTTATTCAAATGCAAAGTTTCCTTTAAAATTCAGAACTCTTCCCTTCTCTAATCACTCTTGGGAAAAGCTACATAACCTTTGATTGCTCAGCCATTCTCCCCTCCAAGTAACACCAGAAACAACGTAGTCTCCTACTAATCTATGGGAAATCACATGCACCCTCCTTGAGGAACCTCTTAAGTCCATTGATAAATATTTCCCAGCACTTCTTGATGAACTAGAATTGCCAATAAACCAATTGCAGAAATATCCTTATGCTCCTGTCTTCTGCTTTACATACGTCCAAGTGGATTCTGGAAGACAGAAGGGCACATGCTTCAGCGTGCACCAATTCAAATACAAGTAGTGGGCCAAAGCTGCATCGACATTTTGAAAATGCTAAGAGCAGATTCTCTGTTCTGAATTTAAACTTGGCCTCCAGACTTTTCCAGCCAAGTTCGGGAAGTGACTAAATTTTGAGATTTGGTTTTAGGTCTCCTCAGAGCTTACAGTTTTTCTCCATATGTTTGAATGCAATTTATTTTCACTAGGCAGACAGTTTGCCAATCCTGCAAAACGCAGGTAGAGAAAGGGTTGGGGGCTGGGGGGAGGAGTTCCCTCAGCAGAGGTTTTAAAAGCTCCCGAGTTCATGTCAAAAGACCTAGAAGCAGAAGATAGGAGCAATTACTTCAAGTAGCATGGTTCGCCTGCCACAGTGAACAGGTTAGAGCCATGGCTTCAGCCCCTACTAAACTCCAACAAGCCCACTACAGCATCCATCCAGCAGCACTCTGAACAGCTTTCCACCCCTTCAAGTGCATGGCTTGAAGTGGGATTGCAATGCCGAATTCATCTGCCCTGTTCTAAGCCGAAGAGGCAGCTCCCTGCAAAGCTGAAGGCAAGAAGATGGGTAAGTGGCAGGGTCCAAGGCTCCCTTATCCCAGCTTGAACACTGGATGTGTACACCCCATCCATGATGTTCATTGTTCAGTGTCCCCGTTGTACAAAAGGCAGATACCCCCATTTACTTATCAGGGAATTATTAAACAGCTTCATTAAATATTGCATGAGAAGCACCCAGAAACAGTTTAAAGGCACTGTAAGATTGATCTAGTTACCCTTTCAAATCCTTCGTGCATGTATGTGTCACCTCCTGGTAGGACTTTTTGCAGCTCTTCCAGCCCTTGGCGTATCTGTTCCCTGAAATATGAATGCAGACACATTGTCATATGTGAGATCAAATTTACCAGAGTTGACACCCAGGTGAAGACATGCATGGCAGAACCAGAGAGCAAAAAAACAGTTAACCCAAAGTTCATATACACTAAGGTAATGTTTGGATAAATGCCTTTGTAAGGATATGGAAAATAAGGCAGAGCTGCTGCCCTTTATCAGTACCACACCTTCAGTTCCTGTCCAAATTGACTCAAGGATTAAAGCCTTTCCCATTAGCTCATTATGATTCAGGGTATCTGGTTTGATCTTTTGGAAACCCAGGCACACTGACAGATCAGTTGCGGGCTAAGTGGGGCAGGCCCCCGTGTTCCTCTATTGAGTTGCAGGCACCAAACTCTGGAAGCCAAGTACAGGCCAGAAATCTTTCCAACTAAGATAAAGCCCCTGCAACGTGGGTGGGGTATGTCTGAGCAAACTATCCTATCTTCATGGGAACTGGATAAAGTCCCTGTAGGCAGGACCACACTGACATGGCAGCTCTGAACGCCAGAAGTCAGTTTTGTCCCTGCAATTCTTCATTGGAATCAAAGAGTTTAAGCACAGGAGAAAACTACTGTCATTTGCCCTTAAACGTCAATTCTCAATTACAGTTCCAAATTTGTTCACTTCTAAACAAACTGCAGCTTGTTAAACTAGTCCTTGAAATGGCACAGTTATGCTGATGCCATCAAAAAAAAAAAGACTTAAGTATGCATTGATCTTTTTACTCCTGATACAAATGGGATCAAAAAAAAGATAAATTTAATCTGTAACTAAACACACTAAGGAATTCAAGTTGATTTTGGACCCTTCAGCAAAACTCACAGCTAGCACACTTTAACAGCATTAGCCCACGTGGAGCAGTGCTGACGGACGTTTAGAAACATGATTGAGACGGGATGAAGTTGAAATCCAGGAAGCAAGACCTCATTGCACCTGAACTGGGTGCTCCTTTCTTAAAATACACACCTCTCCAAGGCAAAATTTTCAGAATGAGTCTGATTCTTAGAGTCCCTGCACATTTTCATTACTTAAAACAACACTCATCTCAGTGATTATCACATATGCAATTTCACACTTGTAACGCTGAGGGCACTGGTGAGTTAACACTATCCAGACCACAGAGGAGAACGCTAAACCCCACAGAGAGACAAGAGCATCTGCTTTTGCCACAGACTGTAGTATCAGACATTCAAGAACTCATTCCGTACCTGTGATACCCCAAACCAGGTTGTACTTTGAGCTGTATACTGTAGACAGGCTAAGGGCAGATATTTCCTCCATTAAACCACCCCAACACCCTGCCCCCAAATCAAAGCTTAATATAAAATCCAGAGCATTCCCTGTGATCACAACTATTTTTCAAGTGTGAACACTATGATTTTAAAGTAGACAAAGGCCTTTAAAACAAGTGACAATCCAGTCCCATAAGAGGCAAAGAGTTTTTTTCACAAGGAGAATAAAGCATGCTCAAATGATCTTCATGTCCAGTTGCTGATACACCGGATGGAGGCAAGAGGGAGGTGGAAGAGGTTTTACCACCTCTCCCACTCCCTGCTAAGACAGATCAACAGACTTGAGTGAAGCCCCCATCTTATCTGTCAGTCCTCCAATAAAACAATCAGCAGCTCTCCAGTCAAGTGGGTTGTGACTAGTGATGTATCAATATCCTGTTTGCAGTCAACAGTTCTAGGACACCCAGATAAATATGAAATGCGTTTCCACATGGGAAACGCACATAAATACTGTAATTTAAAGCCCTGAACAGGCCAGAGATCTTTGCAATGACATACATTCGCAGGGCGGGAGACAAAGAGGAAGGGAGTCAGGTTTTCCTCTGGCACCAAGTCAAATATTGTTAATTCTCCCTTTATACTTAACTGTTGCAGTAAACGGCAAAAGATGTTTAGGCTGGCTGTGTTTAATGATATTTAAGGTTGGTATGTGTGAGGACTGCTCTTTAGGAAAGCAGCCAGTTTCCTATTCATTCCTCTATAGTAGTTGCTCTGGTATGCAATTTCATAGGCATCCAATATGTAAAACACATGCTGACTTAGGCAGTCTTCACATGTGTTACATATATTTTTGCTCCACGTGGCAATGAAGTTAACAGAGGAAGCAATAGCAACTAAAGGACCTTGCCCAGCTCTTCTTGAGGAAAAGAATCAATCCCATAGATTTTTTTGCAAATAATTTAGAATTTACAGGGGGATGACAGAAACATGCTTCAGAAACATCACAATCAAACTGTCATAGCCAAAAAATATACACCCTTGCAACCCATCCTTAACACTCTGCTTGCCTATAATAATTCTCAGACCTCTGAGAAATTGTTTTCTTTTTATCAGGAGTATGGGAATCACCTACTGCTTTTTAGTTTGTTTTTATGGGAAGAGAGTTTTACTTAATTGTTTGGAGCGGAAACTTCCTAAGAACGTTTCAAAGGCAATGTTAATAAATCCTTAGCTTTCGATAGCCAGAGAGGCTTCTATTTTCCTTTTTCATCCCCAGGGCAGGAAGGAATGAACTCCCCAAATCAGCATTAGAGGCACAAGTAAAAGAACCCTCAAAAACACAGGATTAAAAATCCAAGTCTCAAAGATCTCCCTAAACTATCTCAAAGGATCTGCTTGAATGATAATGGAAATTGGGCCGCTAACTGCCTAAACCTCTGATGAAAAGCTTCAGCCCAAATCTTTTGATTTTACTTCTCCCCCAGCTAGCTCTTAACCTTGTATCTTCTATTACCTTTCATGTTGCCACCTGCACCAAAAAATCACTTCTAATCAATTGCTCTTGAATTGCTTGCTTATCTCTCCCTCTGGTGTGCAAGGACATTCTGTCATGACTAATAAAGTTAAGGATATAATGATGTAAAATTGAAAGAGCTTTACACTTGTAAAGCAAGATTCTTTCTGCAAAGGGGTTGCAATCTCAGATGGATAAGGAAAGGGAGCATAACTGCACAATGCTCAAAATACACCACACTTCAGTTAGAATGAAAGCCTGAAAACCTGTAGAAGACAAACTCCCTCAATGAAAGCTGTTTGAATTAAAACTCCAGCTGGCTATAGACAGATATTTAGAAATTTAAATTTAGGCAGCAGTCCTTGCTTAAGAGGCCTTGGTGCATTCTAGCAGAACCAGTGTTATGTGAAAACGGTCAGGTGATTTAGGCAATTAACCTCAGCAGCACAAAGATGTCCCCATACAGCTCACTGAATTGGGAATCATTGAGCAAGGAAGGCAGAGGAAACTACAGGAGGAGATAAAAAGCTGCTGTGCGCTCTTAAGCTTGTCTTACCTGTCTTCTGTTAACCTCATTAGAATTGTCCCTCTAGTCGAAAAAACAATGAAGGACATCCTCAGCTGCGGGCTGGAGAAGAAGATACACAAAAGTAAATGATTTTGGCAGTCTGCTCACACACAGCTCACTATATGCTTAATACCAAACACTTAAGGTATCTCTCTGGTTGCTACTAAGATTACAATTCAAGAGGATGAAAGGAGACAAGGCAGCAAATAATGCTTTGCCCTGGGTCTTCCCAAATGAACCAAGCCAGGGGAAGTCCTTCTAGAAAACATAAATTACTATTTGCATCATGCTCTTGGGACTGCAGAGGCAAGAAAGGCTTTAGGGCATCCTGTTATCACCATGGAGATGAAGAAAGGCTGACTGTCTTGATCATAACACATTCTACCCCTGTTAACTCAGCAACCATCTTAGAAGAATGAGGGTTCCCTCTCCACAAAAGGATAATTTGGTCAATGGAAGTCAGGTGGGGGAGGGAGGGTGGAGGAGGGAGACAATTTGCTCATCTACTCTGATTTCTCATACCAGAGCAATACATTCTGTGAAAAATGCAAGTAATCAATGAGATGACCTGAGAAAAGGATCAAGAAATCTTGCATCAAGTCCCCAGGTGTAAAGCAGGGTGTACTCCTTGACAGAAACTGAAAGCCTGGCTCCTAGTTGCTGGCACACACACCTCATTTGGTTATCTGCAAATCTGCATTTCTTACCTTATGAACTTACGAGCCAAATGTTCCACAAAATGATATATTTCATTCCAGTGGTGCAGGACACTTCCTGATCTATGGAAACAATTATTGCAGGAGATATTAGTTTAATTGCCGCTGTTGCATAGTTTTCCCAGCCTAATGTATTGTTAGACATCGCTCAGCTAGCCATTTCCTCTTAGTTTATAGTCCTTAGAAAAGGACTCACTGTCCTTTTAATAAACTTTTCAATGAAATAAGAAAAACAGTAAACCACATTTCCCATTAACTTTGAAAAGCAAGAACAGATCATTTATGCTCCATGCAAGTGTCTGAGCCTACACTTCACAATGACATATGGCACTAACATTAGACCTTTAGCACAGCCTTAAACAAATAACCTAGTGTTAGTGTAAATCTGTCTCTATCTCGTATTCTAGGTGAATTCCACCAACTCACTCATCATACCATTATGTAGAGTTTTCAGTTCAAGCACCTTTTGGGAATAAAATACAGTTGGAAGGAGGAACAGACTCTTAAGCCTTTCCAGCATATTCACTCTGCTAATGATTATGAAAAGTAAAATACCTTTGGTCCACTTCTCAGCCCTTCTGGTTCATTCTATCACACCTTAGTTAAAGACAAAACAGACCGGACTAAAGTTTTGCTTCTCAGGAAAGTTAGCCAGAGATTTTAGTGGAACAGGATTATTCTTCTTCATATTGTAAGAACAAGGGAAAAAATAAGGTTAATCCAAAATCTTTCAGTGCTAAACGTGTCTTCTGGCACACTGATATAAACACTGGCATATTAATGCTGGAAAAAGATTTCCTTACTAGAGTTGGAAAATGTCACAACTTATTGGCTTATTCATTGGCTACAATTAAAAATATTTATTAGGAGAAATAACAGTCCCAGCTTTAACAGAAACAGCCTGAGGCTGGCAAGAACCTTTGAAATTATGCTTTATTTTCATTTCACAGAAAAAGGAGAGGTAGCCGACATCACTGTTCTACCTTAGATCCGAGAGTCCAAATCAATAGCCACAAACAGATTCACCCAGATATTACAGTACCAGTATGCTCTGCGTGACTTCCTCAAAGCACAGCAAGCAAGCAAACCGCACCGTACAGGTTACTCAGAAGTTTCCTGCCATGTTCCCCTTATGCCTGGTTTTCATTTACAGCCATTCAGTAAAAATCTTGGCCTTATCCTCTTGTTCCATGATACCATAAGCTTCTCTTTCTCTACGTCGCCCCTTATGCCCCTAGGCAGCCTTAGATACGGACATGCAATAAGAAACCTTGCACAGGTACATAAACATACAGTCCATCTGGCAAAACACCAAATATACCCCTGGTTCTCTTTGCACAAATGACCTGATACCAGTTACACCTTTTTATGCGATTCTGTGATTTAAAGATAACCTTATACACACCTCTGTTTTGTCTGCAATCATAACTACAGATTACAGCGGCCTAACCATAACCAAATGCTAGCAATTCTAAATTATTCCTCGGCTCTTAAGGGTACAGAGAGGAAATCTTTTCACTAGACCAGGACTCCGATTCATTACCTGGGCTCCATGCAAATAGGTATCAGGGAGTGCCAAAGAAACATCACTAGCAAGGGCCGTGAGGAACTGATTAAATCTTGCAGGCAGTGGGAAAATTGCTGTCTTCTAACAGGAGGATGATGTACAACAGGATTCACCCTCAAAAACAAAAAAGCTTACCCCCCACTGCATATTCAAACTACTAAGTTATATCCACCTTTGCTTGGCATGAACTCTCAGCACTTAAACCCAAACACACCACATATCACCCCCTCCCCCCCGAACATAACCATGAATATTTCTGCAGGAACCTATTCCTTCAAGTTTGTGGAGGTCTGCCACTCCACCATCAGTATATTTTCATAGTAAGGCTGGCATTTCTGGCAGTACTCTTTTAGATAGTCCAAAGGCTACCTTAGTAACATGGGAGCTTTCTTATACATCTCTAGTGGGCTAAACATCCAATAGAACAGAGATGCACATATGAAGTCTCCTCCACCACCACCCCGCAAAGCATGGAACAACTTTCTTGGGAACTTCAGCATAACAGGCATCCCAGGCTCAAACTGCCCAACTTATTTCTGAGAACAGGCCAGAAAAAACAGGTATTTATTCTCTTTACATAGCAAAGCGTAAAAGAAATACTTGACATTATGGCAATGGTTACAACATCAGTCTCTAGAAAACACACAAAGCCAAGAATTTGTTAACTATAAAACAGACAGCGCTACCTCCTTCAGCAAGATCTATACTGGCTTTAGACCATGTATCAGCCTCTTCCTAAAAGAAAGTATGCCTCTTCCAAGTTCCATGTAGATTCTGAACCATCTGGTAGCAGACACTTCTGAAGCCGGGTAGTTTCACAAAAGCATATACTAACCAACCCTCTCCTAACCATCAGATATGAAGACTATGCTGTATTTCATGCTAAGCAAAAGCTTAGCTCTCAGCCTACAGCGATACAGAAGATCTATCCAGCCCTCACTGAGAACAGGACACTGCCCTAGAAGCAGCACTAGTTTTAAAAAAGTGTGGTTATTCCCTCCCCTTCATTACAATGCCCTGAACAAAAGTCGATTGTCACTTTAAAAATTATTATTATAGCAAGGCAGTTGAGAATGAGAACCAGCTACAGAGCACATATGGTATGTAGGTCGCCATATAAAACTCATTTTCCATGGCTCTGGGAAGCCATGCATTTTTTGAAAACAGCGTTTGCCAAAACTAAGCTTAAAAACCAATAGCTTAATTCAGTGATGTGCCAGTCGACAGCACATTAAGCGTTTGCTTTTGCAACTGTTCTTCTCCTGCTCTTCAGCTATTTGAGCAGTTTTCTCAGCTATGCAGTGTCTTTTAAACCATACTTATGTGGAGAATTCAGATCCTGCTGCCACCTTTCCCTTCATCCTTGCTCCGTTCTCCCACCAAGACCCCCATCCTTAGCCCCTCTGGAACAAAACTGTAAACATCTAAAATTACAGTTGTTCTTCCATGAAACCTTCCCACACATCTATTCATACAGAAGAGAGGAACAACTCAAAGTTCAAGAGCAGCAGAATGTTAAACCTCTATTTTAAGAGAGCTTCTTACCATTGCTATTATCATAAGAACAAACCCATTCTAGTCCACAAAAGAAAAAGCCAGTTTCTGCTTCTAGCTACAAATGCACTGGGTGCAGGGTAATTGTATTAGACTACAATCAACGTACTCTTCATTTGTGCCAAGCAAGCTAAAAACATGGTCCCAAATTGAAGGCTCACACCTTTCCTGACAGTACAGTACTCCTTCTAGTAGGAGCAGCTTTCCATCTCTAAAGAGAGAGCTTGTGGTATATCCACAGTTAATTGCTCCACCTAGTCAAACCCAGGTCTCAGTGGCTATACATGCATGCACAGGTGCACATTGAGAAGGGAGAGATACTCTTAACACATACATGTCTTCTGCAACTAACTTCCAGACTTCCAGACACAGTCTTCACTGAGCAAGAAAAATCCCTGAACAAAAACAAAACAGCCCTTTCTGCAGTCAGAGGGGTTACAGACACACTGACAGCTTGCAGCATTCACCTCCACAGCTTTCAGCTGTGTTATTGGTAAAACCTGCAGTAAGACTATTGTCACTTGTAGAGCCTCTTACAAGAAAGGCAAGAGCTGTGAACAGGAGAAATATGTCTAAAGCCTAAGAAAATAAAAACCACTTTAAACTTGTATCTCTTTGTATTATCAAAGTGAAATAAAATTATTTGCAAGCCAAGACTGAGCAGCTGAATGGTTGATGCTATAAACTTGCAGTTTAAGTAAAGGCTCACACTTAAGATGCCAAATTCTCTCACTAGAGAAAGCCTAATACATGGAAATTAAGAATAAGTAAACCACTATGCCTTTAACAAGAGAATGATACATCCTGCAGTCAACTGTGCTGGCATTTTGTATATCTAAACTAAACTCAAGGGAGAAAGAAGCTCCACGTGGCTCAGAATCTCCAGACTCAGAGAGTCAGGCTCTGGCTAAGACCTATCCTTCAGCAGGTGCTTCTCTTCTACTCACTGCAATGGGATGGCACTATAACACAAAGCTATAGCAACTCAAACCTGATTACAGTTTGGCTTTATATTACACTGCTCTCCTAACTTCAGGAAGGGTTTACTTTTCCAGACTCCCGATTTCAATTTCTCCCATTGTACTTCCTGAGAATACCCATAGTGTTATTTCTAATTCGCAGCTAGAAGAAAACAAACAAATCCACAGACCCTCATATAACAGCTTCATACCAGTTCTACACGCAATGTGGCTCAAAAATATAAAAGGACACCTGAGTTGATTACTGATGTTGAGTCAAATTCTTCTTGAGCTTCTTTATTTTTGGACTAACTTCAAGATGTCTCACAGCTCTCAGAGAGGTGGCATTGACCCAAGAAGTTCCGCAGCATCCTTTTACCAAGATCTTCAGAAATAACATGGAAGGCTCAGAAGGTGCCCTCTATCTTTCCAAATACTTTAGGAGCAATTCTGAGACCACCACATAACAGACATCTTAGATGATGCAGCTCTAAGGAAATGCTATTATCTTGTGCTACTTTTCACATGAGACTGCTCATTAGAGATACTGTCAAGCATTTGAGGCTAGAAGTCCAGTTCAAAGCAGAATAAGCCTCTAAGCCCAGTCGCAATCCAAGAGGAGAATACTCTCCCCTGCCTGAATGGCAAGGGGATATATAGAATAACTTATAAGCAAGTAACCACAAACTTATATCTGCTATAGACAGAGCGTGGAGCTCTGCAGGTACACACACAGCACTCAGCATAACGCAGCTCCCACCCTCCTTCCCCCTTTCACCAAGTAGCAGCTTACTTTGCATTTACCACAGGCTAAGCACATGCAGACAAGTCTTGATCAGCAAGGATTTCATACTCAACTAGCTCACTGCAATGTGCGGCTGCATTCCTGCAGCACGCTTGGTTTTGAATTATATTCATTCAGGCAACAGGCAAAAAGATACAAGAATGTGCACATTTCTCCATACTACCCTGCTATACACCCCTCAACCCTGATACTAAAACAAAGAGTAAAAAACCCTAAACCTCCATATCCTTGCAACTCTCAGTCAGCTTAACAAAATGTACACCACTGCTCTTAATTCAGGTCTGTAATTCCATAAAGACGATCGAGTAGCTAGCTCTAGCTCTGAGCCTAGGTCAATGAAAAACAAAAATGAACTTGAATTTTCTTTCCTCAGACACTAGATTTTTACCAGGTACCAGCTAAAGACTTATTTCTTCAGGTAAGAACAGCTGGAATATTATCCAGCTCTGTAACAGTCCTGCAATTAGCTCTCCTGGAGCATTCATGATCCCAGAGGAAAAGGCACTATCACAGGAAGCAGTTCATACAGGTCAGTCTCTCTGCCTGGTGACACAAAGTATTTCTCGTCTGCTTTCCATCCCACTGTGTCCCCTAACTCTCCTACTCCTTATACAGGTGTAAATCAGGACTTAACCCTGCTCAAATCACAGCAACTACAGCTACTAAACTAGACTCAAAGAAAGAAACATTAGGATCTGCATAGCAAGAGTTGCGTTCAGTACAATTGGTTAAAAATATCTCAGTTGTGCGGCTAAATAACGAAGGGATCACAGGAAACAGCTTGGATTACTTGCTTTTCTTTGCCAAGGATCTTTCGGAGCCAAATTTTCATTCATGCATGTAGAGTTTCTTGCATGTTTTCCACACATGGGTATAAAATGCTCACATAGCAAGCAGGAGCATAGCAAATACAGGCTTTGACATATACAGAATACAGCAAAAAGATTACCGAAAAGATTTATTGCTCATTGTTTCCTACCTGCAAGTCATCTGGAAGCTGCCACTATCAAGTGTTCAGCTAACTGTGCTGGTACTCGGATACTATAGCACTAGACACAATGTCAGTTGTGACTGATTAATGAAGACTACAACCAACCCGCCCATGAGTGATATTTGAGAATAAATGGACAATGTCAGCAAAAACAAATATTTGCTTTATGCTTATCGACACCATCTCACTGCTTCCTTGCCTTTAATGAGGACCTGTGGTCTCATCTCACATCCAAAGCTATAAATCCTTTGGCACCATCTTTGGCCATATATTTTGATAGCATTCAGTCTATAGGAGTCTCAGTCCATAACTGAAACCTCTCAGCACTCCAGTACTACAAGCAGCAATACAAAAGGAGGCCTATCTAGGGCCAGCTGTCTCAACAACTCACCCAAACACACTGTAAGCCTCCCTCATCTCCCACAACACTGAGTTCATCTTGGTATGACCATCAGTTTAAGAAATGCTCAGCACCCAGCAGAAATAGATCCTGCATACTGCCTAAGCAGCAAACATCATATCCACAACTGTGCTTTAAATAACTCTTACATCTTTACTTATAAAACCATTTTTTCAATGAAAGCCTAAGGAAGACTGATTAATCCGGTCTTCATTCACATGAATACAATTCCACCGTCTTCAATGAACCTGCTGTCAGGCAAGTCTGAATCCCAGGTTAGCTGCTTGTGTCTTAATACCGTATTTTCATCCTTTCAAGATAACTGTGTGTCAAGCAGTGATTCTGACGGTATCCTGCAACCTTCGTTTCCTCCAGAGTTGGAGACTGCACTGACAATTGCGCGATAACTTCATCTTTGCTTGGAGAACAGTTGGCCCAGCTTGAACTGCAGTTGTCTGGGATGTTTCTGTACCACTTCTGGAACATGCTTTTGCTAGCCTGAGGTCCAACGGCCACAGCACGGGAGACCTGTAAACAGGCTTTTGCCAAGTCCCTGTTGCTACCTAGGTGGTATGAGAACTCCTCTTGGAAGTGATAGAGGACGTGCAAGTGCATGCACAGAAGTTAAGGATGCTACTGTAACCTAGCAAGCACACCTGCTGCATTTCAAGCTTCCGTTCAGTTTGTTACATGCACACCACAGCTGCAAGGCATAAGAGGGAATAACAGGATTATTTCTGAATAACTGAATTCCCTTCTCATGACCATGAAGAATGAGAGAGTTGATTCAGGTCCTCAGAGCATGCCATCTGCAGCATCATGTCTCCAGCTGTATGCAGATAGCCTGAGGAAACCTGGTTTCCCTTCAGCAGTTCATACAGCATGTTTGCAGGAGTTAAAGGAGAACGCTGCAGGGAAATAGAGAATCACTTGATAGGAAAAGCCTATGACACTCATTCTTCCCTCAACGGGTTTCATGTTAACTTCAAAGGGGCTTTTTGTATCCAGAAACATGCTTGAAGAGCCAGTGTTTTCATGACGACTGTGTATAATAAAGCAGCTGGAACATGTTGCAAGCACAGCACAGATACAAGGTGCTAAACGGAGTTAAGTAGTCACTAAATCTAACCAGACACTGAGGCAAAAGGGTCAGTTGAGGGCTCTGGTGGCTTCCAGAGCTGTGTTTATTGTTTTAGTATTACTTCTTTGATCCCTGAAAGCAGGTTGCTTAATATTTTAATGGCTTTCTTCCACCATTGAAATTAACATCTCATGTTTCAGAATGAAAATCCTTTCTGCCTTTGTGTCCTTTATCATCAAGGCTTTTAATTACTCTTAGAACTACTTCTGTTAAAAGCAGCGAGACGAGCCCTGAATCCATTATTATCTTTTCCTAGTTCGTCAGGAGGCCTCTATAGGAATCTTATCCCTCTTGTGTTCAGGGCATCACCAGCATGCATGAAGGCAACAAGTGAAGGTAGGAAATGCCAGGCTGAATAAGACCCAAGTTTTATATAACTTGGGCTTAGCAGTAGAGGAGTGAAAGACAGTTTTAAAGACAGCCTGTATAGGATAACCTATTCCAACTCCATAAGCTCTCATCAGCCTGCTCAAAGGCTGAGCAGACAATCAGGTCCATAGCATGCTAAACACACAAGTAGCTGAATACTATGACACTCCTCCAAACTCCACTGGAGGCAAAGGACATTTTTACATCAACAGGCTTTGCATCAGACCCTTGTTTATTTCTGCACCAGAAAAGTGCCAGAAATAGTGATCCTGCAACTGTTATAAAGCAGGATTTATTGTTGGATTCCTTGACACAAACACTGAGGTAACCTGCCTATTCTAAAGTTTGGGCCAAACTTCACAACCCCTTGAGCAAGCCTAAAAAGTTATACCTTTCAGGAGGAGGACAGCATGGGGTAGGGGGTGGGCAAAGGCTGTTAAAATTATGTTACCTCAGATACATAACAGAGCACTATCTATCAGATTTGGAAAACCCTTCAATTCTGCTTCAACTTCAGTTTGTGAAAGCTCTTGCAGTACAAATGATTTTTCCCCTTACCTAGCAATAACAGCAAACATTCCAACTAACAATAGAATATCCAAAGCAACAAAATGCATTGACAGGACGATCCTTCTGCTGAATGAAGTAAAAAGAAAACAAAAAACCCTCTCCCCTGCAGTATTAGGGCAGGCAACAAGCATACTAAAAAATCCAGTGTGCTTATCTTATTTTTTACCCAGTATTTTGTAATGATGTGTTATGTAATTCAAGATCTTTTATACTAATGGAATGCGGGAGCTACTGCAAAATACTCTCAAGGATGAGTTAGAAAGCTTCATCTGCAAGCAGGTTTGGCAACTTTAAAATACTTTCCTCTCTGTGAAATTTATGGCTAATAATGTCAATATTATGATGAGAGAATATGCTCTAGCATGCATATTCTCCAGTATTCCCAATTTTTTAAATAACTACTTTAATTTAAGGAAATTGAGACAGGAATTTTAGCTAGTGCTTGTTACACTTTTAACTTTTAAGTTATTTCACTGCTTCAATATGAAGCTCTCCAAAACTCGGTACATCTCTGTTTCCATATTGTTCAGAGCACAATCTGAAGGCCTTTAAATAGACAGTTACCAGTGCCAAGATGATGACACTATCAGAACAGTGATGAATAAAACGAGTAGGAAGTTATCTCCAGTGTAAACAGTTAAGCAGTCAAAATATGCATTTAATTAACTGGAAACAAAGAAAATCTGACTCAGAAGAAAAAATAAAATTCACTTTAAATAAAGCACTCCAGCTATTTTCCATCACAATGATGGAAATTAGACTCTTTCACACTGACTAGCCACCTTTAGGAGACCTGTCTTTATCTGCAAGCTGCTTGCACTAGAACACTTAGAGCTAACAGAAGAACGATACAGAAGCAGTTCACCAGGCAGGCTAGCGTTTCCTCTGATTTTTCCGCTACCAAATTAGTGCCTGCGATAACCACCCTCCAAACCTTGCTTTTATGAGTGCCTCAACCTTCACAACTCATAGCAACATCAGAGGTGACCAGCGTGCTGCTCTTCTCCCAACCACTGTTTTAAGAAACTACAAGATCAAGTACACATTAAAACATCCATACCAGCCACAGCAAAATTTATAACAACTCGATTTACAGAACACAATGGGATTATATACTAGACCCACCAAAGAAGCTACCACAACAAAAATAAAATCCAAGCAGTAAGGACTTTTGCAGGTCCCCTGGGGACACAGCAACTTCTACAAAACCAAAATCCAAAGAAAACCTCTTCAGTGTCAGTGAATGCCATTCCAGTTCACGCCTTGGAAAGATTTCTCTGAAAAAGAACAAAGTAGGACTGACTTACTTGTCTAGAATGAAATACAAATCAAATCCTCCATAACAGGCAGGACCACCATTCTCTCTCTTTCCACCTTGTCCATCACAGGCTAGCAAAAACGTTGCTAAGAAGAAACACTTGAAGCCAAATCTCAATACTCTTTCCTTTGCAATGGCCATTATATCCACATAGAAGGAGGGGGGGGAAAAAAAAAACCCCTCTTCTTTCAAGGCTCCTTTATCTCACAGACTTCTCTGCAAAAGCCATTCAATGACCTTTAAATATATACATATATATTTTACTCCTTAAAACTCCACTTGCAACAGTTGTCCTCAGAAATTGCAAGACTTTCCCCCTATTTCCCTTGCACTTCTGTTTCTTGGTTTCAGATTTCAAGATGCACAATACTGTATTTTTTTTTTTTTAAAGGGACTTGACCCCATCTCACTTGCAGCTCTCTGAAAGCAGCACCATTGTTTTGCAACAAAACGAGCAGCCTCCTAACAAATCTTACTTTGTCACAGGCTTAAGAAAATATGGGGAGGGTTTTAAATTTTTTTCCCTTAATTATTATTGTTATTATTAAGGATAGTAGGTTTTATTTTTCTTCGGGAAAAAGAAGCTCAGAGAATGCCACCTTGTGGCAGAAACTCAAGATAACTGAAGTCTCTTGAAAGATGTTAATTACATCGTTTGTGCTCTGAGCATACTAAGCATGTACTACAGCAGCTTTGGGTATAAACAGACAAGCAGCTAGCTTACAGGGAGACACCTTCATTTACCTGATCTTTAGGCTTAAAGACCAATATAAACCTGCAGTAGCTTAGCAGACTTGACTGAAGCTATTCTACATCCCAGTAAAAACAAGCCACACCAGGTTTAACCCTTTGCATTTTCCTCATCCTGAGGAAACACTTAACTGTTTTTACCAAATGCTGCCAGTGCTACTGAGGCAGATTTCTCCCTCTGTCTATCCTTAGAGGGCTCACTAAAGCCACCAGAGTCTAAACCCACCCTTTTCCCCAAGAGCTAGCCAGGAAACTTAGCTTCAGCCTCACTCCCATTTTCTGTCTCCCTCTACAAAGAGCACCACAAGCACCAAAATTCACAGACACAAGAAAGCTAACTAAAAAGAGAGAAACATCACTGAGACAGAGGAGCCCACACACTAAAGGCCCTATCAGCCCCCAGGGGAGACAGCAGCTAAACCAGAGGCCCAAAGGACAAGGGTTCCTACCCTTCCCTCCCAAATCTTCTCAGGCTGCAGCAACACAAGCTGTTCTCTGAGTGCTAACTGCTGATTAGCCAAACAGCTTCAGATGTTGGCACTAAACATCAAGAGACTTGGGCAGGTTTCTGACAGGGGAGTCAGGCTTTCAAGCTGTTCTTTCTTACTTAAAGAGTTAAATTGGTCTTATAAAAGAATTCTTAGCAAAAGTTACCATTCTGAGGAAAGACCAGGAAAAGCAGCAGAATAGGTTTCATGGGAAAATGACAAACAGCACGATAGAAGACTTTTGACCGAAGTGGAAACACCTGGAATACACGTGAGTCAGGCACCTTGCTGCATCACTGATTAAAACTTTGGGAGTAATTCTCTCCCTCACACCTGGGTATGCTCATCAGCTACACCAGCTCCATCACCTCTGGTGTGGATAATATGGAGACATAGGCAAATGCCAGGTACCTCCCTGGTCCTGCTGTCAAATCCCAATCACAGCTGTCAGAAGTAGAGATTCCCTTGGAAGTCAAAGCATCTCTAGGGTTAGTCGGGACAGAACCAGGTGTTTTGGAGATGGCTATTTTCAGCCTCCACACCTAAATTCAAGAAGTTGGGAGTGTGCCTGTGAGTTTCACTTCCTCTCTGAGTCTGAAAGAAGAATAACAGAGCTTGCTGCTATATAGGCAGAGATCTATGTTAGGGTATGAAACCTCCTAGCACAGGTAGGAATGCGACTCTGGGAAATGTTTGTGAAAGCCTTTTACTGAAGTAGCTGTAATGCTCCCTAAGCTGGGGGCAAGCACCTGCCCTAGCCCTAGGTAGGCAAAACATGAGAGGAGGAGCTCCTTTTTGAGTAGTGCTGTAAAGGAGATGGAGGAGCTGATTGCTGGCTTGTATCTCTAATTGATCAGGCTGCTTAGGTCTTGGGGGGTAATGCTGCTAGAAGATATAATAGTGTAGAGTTATGATACCTACAGCCAGAATGTGTATGTTAGGTAAGCAGAAAAAGTTTGGGATTTTAAAGTCTTATGTAGGTGATTCTTGAAAAGACACATAGGTCTATGGCTCTTAGGCCTGTACTACAAAAATTGTTGTAAGATGCATCAAGAATTTAATGCATGTGTTTGGGTTACTGTATTGTAAGGAAGGAGTGAGGCTGATTCATAATTTTTGGTCTTCTAAAAGAAAGTGAGCTGAATGCAGGAAGCAAAAATATCTCTAAGTAGGAGGGGCAAAAGAAAAATTCTTTCTCTGGGGACTAATGTGTTGTTTTAGAGCAACTTTAGAAAAACACTCGGGGCTTGATTCTGATCTGAGCTACAGCTAAAGTGGTGTTACTGCAATCGTAAGTTTTCACCCACTTATGATCTGTGTCTGCCTAAAGATTAAAAGCAGACTAGGAACCTTTTTTATCTGACTGGCCCTGAGATAAACAAATATGGAGAATTAAAAAAAAAAATCCAAAACCAAAAAAACCCTGTACTCAGGGAAATAACTTTGACTAGAAGCTAGCAGAGGGAAAGAAGGGGGGCGGGAATGGAAGAGGAGATCAGATTCCCCATGTAGCTGTGGATTCAGGCTGACAGAAGGCCTAGTAAAGCTTGGGGAAAAAGCCAATGAATGAGGCATCAGAGGAAGCTTAGAGCCCTCTGAGATGGAGGGAGCTGCTGACAAAAGTGAAATAGCATGTTTTATGCCGTAGCTTTGATTTTCTTCTGAGCTAGTCCTCTTCCACATGTCTGTCTTAAGAATGTGTCTATCTGTGTATGATCTGGTAATAGTGGCAAAATGAACATGATGCTCTGAGAAAAGCAGCTCCTTTGTAGGCAGCCCATGTAAGAGACAGGAAGGGGTGTGGGAATTTCTGCTTCTGTGTCCCTCCCTTGCTAAAAATGTTAGAAAGAAAAATATTACAAAGAATGTAGCTCTGTATGGAAGACTTAACATTTCTTGGAGAGTATGTCTGTTGTGTTTTGTGTGAAAGAGATAAGGAGAGTGTCTTAATTGCATGCAGTAAAGAGTTAATCAAAGTCCAATCCTTGGTGTGTGAATAGAATTTGCATATTGTTAATGATGGGGAAAGTGCTAAATAGCATCTGCAGATCTTGTTTTAACACCTACCATCCTGTATGTATCTAGAGGACCTTTTCTAAAAATCACAGCTGGGAAGAAGTTGGTTCTGTCAGTTTGTGGTCACAGCACTGCTGCTGATAGATGACAGTATCATACGGGTTTTATGAGCGCTCACTTGTTTTGGGGGTTTCTCGGCAGCTGGAGAGGTGGGCAGGTTTTGGGTCGCTTTGGCTCACAAATGTCTGACCTGTAAGGTAGATAATGGTCTCCATCAGGATCTCATAATCACATTCTGCAGTTTTCAGGGCACTTTAGAAAGATACAGCTGTCTGCATGGATAGATGAGATCTAATGAGCTGCCAACGTTGATTATTACTATTGTCACAAACATATCAGCACTCTACAGGAACTACTTCCCTCTATGTTCAGCATAGGTGTGTCCTTAAATTCATTGGCCATATATGCAGGTGGTGTAAGTGAGCATAGCTCTTTGAACATCAAGAGAGCTATATTGTTTTACCTCCCTTGAGGATAATGGACTGTTCTGTGTAATGACTGGTGCCCCCTTTACATTTAAATTGCATTTCCAGTAAAATATAATTCAAGGCTGACCCCCAGTGGCCAAAAGGTTTTTTCTTCTCTGGGTTGCTCTAATTTTTCAATGGGACCAATAACTCCTTTATCTTTTGCTTTTACCTGACTTTGCCTTTCTTTGATTTTGTTTGCCTCCGCTGTAATGTGTAAGGAAGTGTTGCAATATTTTCCTTGTGATCACAGTTTTTCCATTGGCTTTTTAACAAGGGCTACTAGTTCATGGCATGTATATGTAACTTCTTCCTGGAGAAGACTATTAGGCCGAGCAAAGAAAAGGAAAATACGTGCCTTGTGAGGTATTAAAATCAAATAAAACATTAGAAAATACGATGTAGGGAATAATTCTGCCATAATCTAAGATGATCACGTGGTGTTCCTGTTCAAGTCTTGTTTTTATTTCTAGCCAAACCTAGCTAGGAGCAGGGGGAAGAGTCGAGAGCGTTGTAGTCCCCTTTCATTAATGCTGCACAGTATAAGCTTATATAATAAGGCTATGCAGCTCCGGACTCCCTTCCCTTCCCTCAGCAGTGTTGCATGTATATTCCTCCTGTTTGCCTTTATTTCAACCGTTTCCAAGCAATTTGCCAGCACTAGGGCATCCTTGCAATGCTTCTGCAAGTGATTTTTATATTCATGTTATAGCCAGACAAGATTCAGGACAGTCTACACAAATGGGCTTCTATAATTATGGGTGTCTCTTCTTGTATAATACAATTTAAACAAAAAAGATCAGCTCCCACTGATCCCACATCTGGACCAAACGGTGAGAAAGGCATTAGGGGATCCTGGTTTTTGGCACTTCTGAATTTCGGGTGGTTGAAACTGACCTCCCTTCTCAAAATCAAAGCACTCGGTTAAAAGTGTCTTCAAAAATTTGAAGCTCAAACTTTGAGAATGCTCTAATGAGCGAGTCCAAACCACAACACAAGTATCCTGATGCTCAGTCCCCTGTGACTCATAAGAACGCAAACTGAATATTCTCCTTATGAGTCTGCTCAGTGTGATCGGGCATTTAGCATGGCAGTAATTAACCCCTTGGAGAGATTTTTCCTGTAATGTGTTTCCATGGGAACAGGTTTGATGACACAAAAATGACAGTGAAGATTTGGCAGAATCGGGCAAGGAGAGGAGGAAGGAAAAAAGGGAGGTGGGGGTGGAAGGATAGTTTAATAATGTATGATAACCTGGCTAGCAGATTTTACTTAAGCAAAATTCCTTCGGCTCTGACTTACAGAAATTAGACTTCAAAAGAATTGAAGCTGAAAGAACAGAGTTATCTGGAGGAAGGAATGCTGACAAGATCAGTGAGATATTCCCTCTGAAATTCTGCAACACTTTGCTCCTCTTGTTTAGAAGAGGGAAATGCCAACCTAGGGTTAGTACCTCAGTTTTACAAGTGATCATGAAGATGGTATTAGACTGACCCAGCAATCACAAGCCTTTTCTCATCCATGTTGGAGTAAAAAATATAGGGGAGCTACTTCTGGATTGACTGTCCACTTGTTTTCAAGCCTAAGGATTTACTTTGAATTAGAGCTTTCAAAGGAATGAAGCTCACTTCTAAGCTGCTGGA